TATTTTTCAATCGGTGGAAATTGAAAAATGACATGTGTCAATTAACAATCGACAGAATTTGGAAATGACGCAGAACAGATATATGTAACTGTATTAAATTTATGTAAAGATCTTTGCCCAATCCAAAATAAGGTATGAATCCCAGTCTTACGTACGTCCATATTCCAAAAGTATCATAATAATAATTTGAAGTGTAATGGGTATTAAAGGTTTATTTGTAGTATTTAAATATTTCAGAAATAATAAACACGTGTTACATATCACAAGTTTAGCCCAAAATAATAACTATTTGAATGGCAACTATAATTAAATCAATTAAATCGCAATTATATTACATACATTAAACTTTCAAGAACGCCTAGTTTACTTAATAATAAAAAATAAAAATTTACAGAAACTTAGATTTCTTAATGTACAGTAACTGCGTAGTAACTGTATAGTACTATATAGTCGCTATTAAAACTTAATAGTAAATATATAGTTACCACATAGTTTCTATGTAGTTACTGCGCATTAAGATATTCAAGTTTCTGTATAGAACATTTATCCTTAATAACACGAAATTTCAGTATTAGTAGGTATACTTTGATTCCAACGAAATAAATTATAAGGATCATATTTTTGTTAAATTTCCACCAATTTTTCGAAATTTTCTCTATAGTATCTACATTGCCAGTTATCCAACTGTCTATCAATTAAATTTGATAACTTTCATAATTTGTATACTTTGTTGAAAATGGTTAGAAAAAATTTTTAAATCTCGTAAACACATTTCAGAAGGTTCTATTACTTTAATATTCATATGATTCATATGACCCCTATGGACGAATGCTGTTTCGTTTCTCCTAACCTTATTAACTCTTCCACCAAGTAGTAACATCTCTATTTTTAAATCACACTTGAAACCTTCTATAAATTTCATTAGATTTTTAGCTTCTTCAATAGATAACCCACCAGAATTCATAAAGAATGTTTTTACTTTAAAATTTCCCACATCCTTTGTTGAATTTGCGTAATAAGTAATCAACTCGTGAAAATCACCTTCATTATACGACTCCATTTTAAATTTTGATAAATTATAAAATCTTGTATATAAGGTTGTAATTCAGCTGCAGATCCTAAATAAATCCCAAAAACATCGACAGTTAATTCTGGGAGTTTAGTGATTGATGTTGCAAATGTTAAATTTTGATGAAAATAATTATTCCCCAATTGATTTATTACTGAGAGAATTGATGATGTTTGGTCAAAATCATACGTAAGATTAAAACGAGTTACGATCTTTTGTATAGGGTGTATCTTGATGGTTGAAGTTGTAAAAATACCATAGCCTGCATTTCTTGCACCTCGCAAAGTCCAGAGAAGTTCAGGATATTCTTTTACATTATTAACTACTGTTCCATTTGCTAAAACAATTTGTGCATCAAGAATATTATCTGATGAAAATCCAAATTTTCGAACAAGAAATCCCATACCCTGTTAAAAATAATATTTATTGTTTTAAAAAAAACAGAAATATATAATGTAACAAAAAAAAAAGAGCCGAAAATACATAATAAAAATTTCAAGCAATGCTTACACTACCCAATGCATGTCCACCGAATCCAATATAAAGACAACCTCCAGCTGGAAATGCAAATCCATTAACACGAGCGAAACGGCGAGTCAGTCGCTTGTCAATCGGATACGTCGTGTAACCTACGAACGGCTTAGTCGATAAGAG